TCTAGAATGCAAGAAAATGCTTTCCAGAACTGTGAAAACATATATTAATAGTTTCTATAATTTTGTTTGAAAAGAAAAGTTAACACAGTAAGCACATAAAACGTGCAACTGGAGAATTAATGATAGAAAATAAGGAAATGAGAGATGAATTGAACAGGCATTTTGCATCAATCTTTAGAGGATACAAGTAATATCTAAGAAACAGCAATAAATCAGGAAATTAAATGGAGGTAAGAATTCATAGTTCGGAAAATCACAATCACTAGAGAAGTGGTACTGAGTAAAAATTGTTGGAGTTGCAGCCTGACATGTGCTTCGGACCTGATGGAAGCAAACTAGATTCATAAAGAAGTGGCCAGTGAGATCACTGAAGCATGGATTTGAATTTTCCAACTCTCCCATTCTTCCAGGAAAGTCCCATTAGGTTGAAAAGTCGTGAATGTAACTCCTTTATTCAGAGAGCAGGAAACTATAGGCCAGTTAGTTTAACATCTATCATGGGGAAAATGTTAAAAGCTATTTTTAGAGGTTATAGCAGGGTAGTTGAAGAGGGTGATCAGGCAGAGTCAACATGGTTTTGTGAAAGGGAAATCATGTTTGAGCAATCTGTTGGAGTTCTTTGAGGGAGATGATGACCTAGTGATATTATTGCTGGACTGTTAATCCAGAGACCCAGATAACGTTCTGGGCACCCGGGTTCGAATCCCACCACGGTAGATGGTAGAATTTGAATTCAATAAAATATCTGCAATTAAGAATCTAATGATGACTGTGAATCCAGTGTCGATTGTCGGAAAAACCCATTTGGTTCACTAATGTCCTTTAGGGAAGGAAACTGCCATCCTTACCTGGTCTGCCCTACATGTGACTCCAGATCCACAGCAATCTGGTTGACTCTCAACCACCCTCTGGGAATAAGGGATGGGCAGTAAATGCTGCCTGGTCAGCAACGCCCTCATCCCGTGGATGAACAAAGGAAAACAAAAGGTAATATGTGCTGTGGATAAAGGGGAACCAATGGATATAGGACACTTAGACTTCCAGAACGTGGTTTGTAAGCTGCTACATTAAAAGTTATTGGTGAAAATAAAAGCTCATGGTGTTGGGAGTAACAGATTGGTGTGAATAGAAGATTGGCTGGCTAACAGGAAGCATAAATGGGACATTTTCTTGTTGACAAAATGTAACAAATGGTATGCCACAGAGATCAGTGCTAGGGTTTCCACTGGTTACGATCTATAGAAATGACTTAGATGAAGGTATGGAAGGAATGAAGATAGGCAGGAAATGATGTGTAGAGGACAAAAATAAGCTACAAAATTATACTGATAGGTTGTGAGCAGGTAAAGATCTGGCAAATGAATATAACGTGAGAAGATGTGAAGTTGTTCACTTTGACAGGAAGAACATAAATGAAACACAGAGTCATGCAGCACAGAAAAACAGACCCTTGGTCCAACTCATTCGCACTGACCAGACATCTCAATCTGACCTAGTCCTATTTGCCAGCATTTGGCCCATAATTCTCTAAACCCTACCTATTCATGTACCCATCCAGGTGCCTTTTAAATATTGTAATTGTACCAGCCTCCACCACTTCCTCTGGCAGCTCCTTCCATACATGCACCGTCCTCTGCGTGAAAGTTGCCCCTTAGGTCCTTTTTAAATCTCTTCCCTCTCACCTTAAACCTATGTCTTCTAGTTTTGGACTCCCCTACCCTAGGAAAAAGACCTTGCCTATTCACTCTATCTATGCCCCTCATGGTTTTATAAACGTCTACAATGTCACCCCTCAGCCTCCGACACACCAGGGAAAATAGCCCCAGTCTATTCAGCCTCTCCCTATAGCTCAAATCTCCATGCCCGGCAACATTCTTGTAAATCTTTTCTGCACCCTCTCAAACTTAACAAGATCCTTCCTATAGAACGGTGACCAGAACTGAAGGCAGTTTTACAAAAGTGGCCTAACCAATGTCCTGTACAGCCACAACATGACTTCCAAACTCCTATACTCAATGTTATGAACAATGAAGGCAAGCATGCCAAATGCCTTCTTCACTACCCTGTCTACCTGCGACTCCACTTTGAAGGAACTATACCTGACTCTAGATCTCTTTGTTTAGCAACATTCTCAAGGGCCCCACCATTAACTGTATATGTCCTGCCCTAATTTGCCTTACCAAACTGCAACACCTCATATTTATCTAAATTAATCTCCATCTGCCACTCCTCGGCCCATTGGCCAATTTGATGAAGATCCTGTTGTACTCTGAGGTAACCTTCATCACTGTCCACTACACCTCCAATTTTGGTGCCATCTGCAAACTTACTAACCATACCTCCTATATTTACATCCAAATCATTCATATACATGACTAAAAGCAATGGACCCAGCACCGATCCTTGTGGTATCCCGCTGGTCACAGACCTCCTGTCTGAAAAGCAAGCCTCCACCACCATCCTCTGTCTCCTACCTTCAAGCCAATTTTGTATCCGATTGGTTAATTCTCCCTGGATCCCATGTGATCTAACCTTACCAACTAGTCTACACTGCGGAACCTTGTCAAATGCTTTGCTGAAGTCCATATAGATCACGTCTACCTCTCAGCCCTCAACAATCATGTTACCTCTTCAAAAAAGACTCTATCAAGTTAGTGAGACACGATTTCCTATGCACAAAGCCATGTCGGCTATCCCTAATCAGTCCTTGCCTTTCCAAATGCACATTGCTCTTGTACCTCACAATCCCCTTCAACAACTTACCCACCACGAAGTCAGGCTCACCTGTCTACGGTTCCCTGGCTTTTCCTCACCACCTTTCTTAAATAATGACACCACATCAGTCAACCCCCAGTCTTCTGGTATTCACCTGTGACTATCTATGATACAAGTATCTCAGTAAGGGGCCCGGCAATCTCTTCCTTAGCTTCCCACAGAGTTCATATTCTGTAAATGGTGAGAGATCACATAGTTCAGAAATGCAGAGAGATCTGGGTATTCTGATGCATGAATCACAAGGAGTATGTGAACAGTGAAGATTGGGAAAACTTTAAACGTCAACAGAAAGCCACAAAAAGAGCTATAAGGAAAAGTAAGATAGAACATGAGAAAAAACTAGCACAGAATATAAAGACAGATAGGAAAAGTTTCTATAAATATATAAAACGAAAAAGAGTGGCTAAAGTAAACGTTGGCCCTTTAGAGCATGAGAAGGGGAATTTAGTTATGGGATATGATGAAATGTCCGAGGCATTGAACAGGTATTTTGTATCGGTCTTCACAGTGGAGGACACTAATAACGTGCCAGTAATAGACAAAGAGACGAAGGTGGGTGAGGACCTGGAAACAATCATAATTATGGAAGAGGTAGTGTTGGGCAAGCTAATGGAGCTAAGAATTGATAAGTCTCCTGGTCCTGATGGAATGCATCCCAGTGTACTAAAAGAGATGGCGGGAGAAATAGCAGGTGCACTGGCAGTAATTTTCCAAAATTCGCTGGACTCTGGGGCAGTCCCAGCAGATTGGAAAACAGCAAATGTGACACCACTGTTTAAAAAGGGAAGTAGACAAAAGATGGGGAATTATAGACCAGTTAGCTTAACCTCTGTAGTGGGGAAGATGCTTGAGTCTATTATCAAGGAAGAAATAGCAAGGCATCTTGATAGAAATTGTCCCATTGGGCAGACGCAGCATGGGTTCATGAAGGGCAGGTCATGCTTGACAAATCTTTTGGAATTCTATGAAGACATTACGAGCGAGGTAGACAATGGGGACCCAGTGGATGTGGTGTACCTAGACTTCGAAAAGGCCTTTGACAAGGTGCCGCACAAGAGGCTACTGCATAAGATAAGGATGCATGGCATTAAGGGTAAGGTATTAGCATGGATAGAGGATTGGTTGACTAACAGGAAGCAAAGAGTGGGGATAAATGAGTGCTATTCTAGCTGGCAGTCAGTGACTAGTGGTGTGCCTCAGGGATCGGTGTTGGGACCGCAATTATTTACAATTTATATAGATGATTTGGAGTTGGGGACCACGTGTAGGGTGTCAAAGTTTGCACATGACACTAAGATGAGTGGCAAAGCAAAGTGTGCAGAGGACTGTGAAACTTTGCAGAGGAACATAGATACATTGAGTGAGTGGGCAAAGGTCTGGGAGATGGAATACAATGTAAATAAATGTGAAGTCATACATTTTGGTAGGAGTAACAGTAAAAAGGATTATTACTTGAAAGGTAAAAAGTTGCAGCATGCTGCTATGCAGAGGGACCTGGGTGTCCTTGTGCATGAATCACAGAAGGTAGGTCTGCAGGTACAACAAGTAATTAGGAAGGCAAATGGAATTTTGTCCTTCATTGCTAAAGGGATTGAAATAAAAAGCAGAGAAGTTATGTTGCAGCTGTACAAGGTGCTGGTGAGGCCACACCTGGAATACTGTGTGCAGTTTTGATCTCCTTACTTGAGAAAGGATGTACTGGCACTGGAGGGGGTGCAAAGGAGGTTCACTAGGTTGATTCCGGAGTTGAGGGGGTTGCCTTATGAGGAGAGACTGAGTAGATTGGGATTATATTCATTGGAATTCAGAAGATTGAGGGGGGATCTTATAGAAACATATAAAATTATGAAGGGAATAGATAAGATAGAAGTAGAGAGGATGTTTCCACTGGCAGGTGAAGCTAGGACAAGAGGGCATAGCCTCAAGATTAGAGGGAGCAGATTTAGGACTGAACTGAGAAGGAATTTCTTCACCCAGAGGGTTGTTAATCTATGGAATTCCTTGCCCAGTGAAGTAGTTGACGCTACTTCAGTAAACGCTTTTAAAAAAAAGGTAGATTTTTTTTGAACAATAAAGGAATTAAGGGATTCGGTGAGAACGTGGGTAAGTGGATCTGAGTCCACGAAAGGATCAGCCATGATCTTATTGAATGGCGGAGCAGGCTCGAAGGGCCAGACGGCCTACTCCTGCTCCTAGTTCTTATGTTCTTGTGTGTTATGAGAAAAGGTTGGGCTAGCTCAGCTTCTATACATTGGAGTTTGGAAGAGTCAGAGGTAACTTGATTCAATCATTTTAGATCCTGAGGGGTCTCCCTCAACGTCAACAAAATGAAAGAGCTGGTCATTGACTTCAGGAAGTAAGGTGGCGGGCATGTCCCAGACTACATCAAAGATACTGAGGTGGAGATGGTCAAAACCGTCAAGTTCCTAGGAGTGATAATCACCAACAATCTGTCCTGGTCCATGTACGTTGATGCTATGGTCAAGAAAGCACAACAACACTTCTACTTCCTCAGGAGGCTAAGGAAATTCGGCATGCCCATAAAGACTCTTACCAATTTTTATAGATGTACATAGAAAGCATTCTATCTAGATGCCTCACAGCTTGGTATGGCAACTGCTCTGCCCAGAACCGCAAGAGGTGACAATGACTACTTTTGACATCAAGGCCATGTTTGACTCAGGAACCATAGCAAAACTGGAATCAATGGGTATCAGGGAGCTTCCTCCAGGACGCATACAGGAAACTACAGAGAATTTCAAATATAGCCCAGTGCATCATGCAAGCCAACCTTCCATCCACTGACTCCAGCTATATATCTTATTGCCTCAAAAATGCAACCAAAATAATCAAAAACCCCTCCTACACCTGTCATACTCTCTTCCAACCTTTTCCATCGGGCAGAAGATAGAAAAGCTTAAACACACGTGCCAACAGATTCAAGAACAGCTTCTTCCCTGCTGTTATTAGACTTCTAAAATGACCTCTCAAATTTTAAATTTAATATTGATCTCGCTCTTTGTGCACCTTCTCTGCAGTCGTAACATTGTATTCTTCACTCTGTTCTATTACCCTAATGCACTTTGTATGATATGATCTGCCTGTACTGCACACCAAACAAAACTTTTCACTGTATTTAGGTACATGTGACAATAATAAATCAAATCAAATCAATCAAACTTTCTGCTGGTTGGAGTCGTATCTGGCACACAGGAAGATGGATGCGGTTGTTGAAGGCCCATCAGTTCAGTTCCTAACCAGACAAATCATACCTTACACAAGTTCATCAGCATAAAAGAACAGAATGCAGAAGATAGTGGAAGGTGCAGAGAAGGATCAACTCTAATATACAAGAAGTCCATTCATAAGTCTGATAACAGTGGGGAAGAAGCTGTTCTTAAACCTGTTGGTACGTATTTTCATATTTTCAAACTTTTGTATCTTCTGCCCGATGGAAGAGAGTATAACTGGGGTGGGAGGGGTCTTTGATTATGTTGGCTGCTTCCCTGAGGCAGTGGGAAATGTAGCCGGAGCCAATGGAAGGGAGGCTGGTTTTCGTGATGGACTGGGCTGTGTTCACAACTGTCTATAATTTCTTGCGGTCCTGGGCAGAGCAGTTGCCGTACCAAGCTGTGATGTATCCAGATAGGATGGTTTCTGTAGTGCATCTATAAAAATTGCTAACAGTCATTATGGACATGCTGAATTTCCTTAGCTTTCTGAGGAAGTACAGGTTTCGGTGTGGCTTTCTTGACTGTAGTGTTGAAGTGGATAGACCAAGATGGCTCGTTGGTGATATTTACTTCCAGGAACTTGAAGCTCTTGACCATCTCCACATCAGCACCATCAATACAGAAAGGGGCATATCCTCCTCTATGCTTCTTGGAGGAAGCTCCCTGATACCCATTAATTCCAGTTTTGCCAGGGTTCCTTAGTCAAACATGGCCTCAATGTCAGAAGTAGTCACTGTCACCTCACTTCTGGAATTCAGTTCTGTGGAAGGTGGTGGTGAGGTACTGAACATTTACACTGTCTTGTCCTAGATGGTGTTGAGTTTCTTGAGTATTGTTGAAGCTACACGTATCCAGGAAAGTGGGGGTATTCCATCACAGTCCTGACTTGTGAAAGGCACAATACAAATTCATATTTTGTTTTAACCTTTCATTCTGATGAAGGTACACATGACTGGGAAAGAGGACTTTTCTCCACATCCTCCCTCATTAACAAGGGTCTACCTCCACTTCAGCCCCATAACAGCAGCTTTCCAATCAGCAGCTTTACAGAATCCCACACTTTATCACAGTCTGGCATTGCTACTGAGTAGGTGAACTGAAATTAACTTTGTTCAAAAATGTTTAGAGACTTGAGTTTTGAAAACAGGAAAATGGTGCGAACAGTTTTAAGTTTCAGAAGGGAACAAAGAAAATCAGCTCCAAGCAAATTTATCCCCGTGACTTAGACTCATAGAGTCATCCAGCATGAAACAGACCCTTTGGTCCAACCAGGCCATGCCAAACATAATCCCAAACTAAACTAGTCCCACCTGCCTGCGCTTGGCCCATATCCCTCCAAACCTTGTACTTATCTAAATGTCTTTTAAACTTTGTAACTGTATCTGCAAACACCACATCCTCAGGAAGTTAATTCCACACACAGAGCCACCCTCTGTAAAAAAAAATCCCCCCATGTCTTTTTGAAATCTTTCCGCTCCCACCTCAAAAATATGTCTCCGCTTCTTGAAATTCCCCACCCTACAGAAAAGACACCTTCTATTCACCCTATCTATACCTTTCATTATTTTATAAATCTCTATAAGGTCATCTCTCAAGCTCCTTTGCACCAGTGACAAAAATCTTGATTAATTGACAAGTTTAAGTTAGAAACAAGGAAGTCAGAACTAGAATTAGATGTTCATTGTAACAACTTCTCTCAAAGAGGAACTGAAATGTAGAACCAAAGTGGAAATTGCTGGAAATACTAAGTAGGCAAGGCGTCATTTGTGGAGAGAAAGCAACAGTGGTAAGGTTTCAAGACAATGACATTTCATGAGAGTCAGTGACTAACCAAGCTGAGGAAATCCTTCAGGTGTACAGTAGAAAGAATGAGATGTGATTCTAGATAGACATCAGGTTCTTGAGTGAGGATTCAGGGACAGGGGAGAAGGTGGATATTGCAGGATATGGGGATATGGTGGGTGGGTGGGGATTTAGGAATATGGGGATAAGGTGGGTGGGTGAGGATTTAGGAATATGGGGATAAGGTGGGTGGGTGAGGATTTAGGAATATGGGGAGAAGGTAGGCAGGTGAGGAATGAGGGATATGGGGAGAGGTGGGTGGGTGAAGATTGAGGGTTATGGGGAGAAGGTGGGGATTGAAAAAAATGTTTTACATCTGTTTAGACTTCCTCTGTCATGCTAAAGAAAGCTTTTATTTAAGTTCTTGAACACAAATAGCTCATGGAAATGTGCTGGTGCATTGGATAGAGTCCCTGCCCCAAAGCCAGAAGTTCTGGGATCAAGTCCCACTCCAGGACTCGATAATGAGGGAAGGTGTGTTCATAATGAAACCAAACAGGTTGAGTATCGAGATAGTAGGAACTGCAGATGCTGGAGAATCCGAGACAACAAGGTGCAGAGCTGGATGAACACAGCAGGCCAAGCAGCATCATAGGAGCAGAAAGGCTGACGTTTCAGGCCTAGAACCTTCATCAGAAAAAGGGTCTAGGCCCGAAACGTCAGCCTTTCTGCCAGGTTGAGTATCGAGTTGTAAATTCTTCCAACACACATCAATGAGAGGTGGTGAGAATGGGAGAGATCCCCTGTGTGATATAAAGAAAGTTACAGCCTCCACTGTTGCTCAGGCTACAAATGCAAGTAAAAGCATGTTGCCACAGCAATGCAGATTCCTTGGGGGGAGGTGTGCAGGAGGCATTTGACTGGCTAGCTGGTGTGGGTCAGATCGGAGTGATCAGACTAGGTGCGATTCTGGTTCAGACTGGGAGTGGGTTCATGACCTGTCCCATTTTTTTTGGTGGAGACTACGATTCATGGATCAGAGCTTCCTTTGGACAGGGAACTCAAGAACTGGTGCAGGTTTGCCACTTTGGTTTTATTTGCAAATGAATGGATTTGCTACATTGAAGACGTCTGCATATGACAATTACTGAGGCTGTTTTTGATGACCCAGTTAAAATGGCATGTTCCCATTGTGGAGCTTCTCCCATGTTCCAGGACCCTGGTTTTATTCATGGATCAGAGGCTTGTCCATACACTTGAACCAGTATCTGGCGATGGATCGTGGGTAAGAGGGTCGAGCATATGCCACTCGCTTCGTCTCCAAATCCACTCGGTAATATTTATCTGGAATTAGAAAGTCAACCAGATCCTCAATTACATGATTGAGATTTTAGTTTGAGTTTTCCCAGTGTTTTAGGTCTTTACAATTTGTGGGATGTGGGTGTCATTGGCTATCCAGCATTTAGTGCCAAGCCCTAATTGTCTTACAGAAGGTGGGAGTCAGCTACCTTGAACGCACTGCAATCCATGTTCTGTAAGTTGACCCATAATGCCCTTAGGGAGGGAATTCCAGGATTTTGACCCAGCGACCCAGGTATGATATATTTCCAAGTCAGGATGGTGAGTGGCTTGGAGCAGAACTCGCAGGGGTGGGTGTTCCCACGTATCTGCTGCCCTTGCCCTTCTATATGGAAGTGGTTGTGGGTTTGAAAGGTGCTGTCAATTGATTGATTGATTCATTGTCACGTGTACCGGAGTACAGTGAAAAGCTTTGTTTACGAGCAGTACAGGATCGCAGGTGAACTTCTGCAGTGCATCTTGTAGATAGTACACACTGCTGCTACTGGGTGTCGGTGGGGGGAGGGAGTGGGATGTTTACGGATGTGGTGCCAATCAAACGGGGGCTGCTTTGTCCTGGATGGTGTCAAGCTTCTTGAGTGTTGTTGGAGCTGCGCCCATCCAGGCAAGTGGGGAGTATTCCATCACACTCCTGACTTGTGCCTTGTAGATGGCGAACAGGCTCTGGGGAGTCAGGAGGGGAGTATTCCTAGCCTCTGACCTGTGCTTGTAGCCATTGCATTAATATGGCAAGGTCAGCTGAGTTTCTGGTCAATGGTAACCCCTCACCCCAAGATGTTGAATTTGGGAGATGGTCTATGTTTCCGTGTTTATATAATGCCATTGAATATAAAACTGCGATTGGTGGATTCTTTCTTGTTGGAGATGGTCTTTGCCTGGTACTTGTGTGACAGAAATGTTACTTGCCAGTTATCAGCTCGAGGCTGAATATCTGTCCAGCTTTTGCTGCTTTTGAACATGGACAGCTTCAGTATCTGAGGAGTTGTGAACGGTGCTGAATGTTTTGCAATCATTATCGCACATCCGCACTTCTGACCTTATGATGGAGGGAAGGTCATTGATGAAGCAGCTGAAGAACCCTGAGGAACTCCTGCAGGGATATCCTGGAGCTGAGATGACTGACCTCCCACAACCACAACCATCTTCCCCTGTGTCAGGTATGACACCAGGCAGCAGAGAGCTTTCCCTATGATTCTCATTGATTCCCATTTTGTTAGAGCTCCTTGATGTCACACTTGGTGAGATGTGGCGTTGATGTCAAGGGCAGTTACTCTCATCTCACCTCTGATATCCACGTTTAAAAAGGGGGTTGGGGATTTTTTTTTCCTTTATTCATTCATGGGATAAGGGTGTTGCTTTAGGCAGCATTTATTACCCAATCCTAATTGCCCAGAGGGCAGTTAAGAGGCAACCACATTGCTGTGGGTCTGGAGTCACATGTAGGCCAAACCAGGTAAGGATGGCAGTTTCCTTCCCTAAACGACATCAGTGAAGCAGATGGGTTTTTCCAACAATTGACAATGGATTCACGGTCATCATTAGATTCTTAATTCCAGATATTTACTGAATTCAAATTCCACCATCTGCCATGGCGGGATTATCTGGGTCTCTGGATTAACAGTCCAGCAATAATACCACTAGACCGTCGCCTCCTCTAAAAGAAAAACATTTGGAATACGTTTTCCCAGGGTTTGGGTTTGGCGATATAATGAACACCTGCAAACTTGGCCAAAGGATTCTGGGTGTAATTGTGATGACCACTGTAGTCACATAGCTGACTCATGCTCATCGTGTGAGCATTACCTTGGGTTCTCCAGAAAGACTGCCCTGTGCTCTCTCACAATGCACACCCCCCAAACCCCTCAATGCTGAAGCAAAGGAAGCTACGTGGGGGTGGGGTGAATGAACCTTTCAGGTATGAACCCCACAGCTCCATGTGTTACCTTTCACAAAGAAGTAGACACTCTGGCTGGGGATGAACGAGAACAATTCCATTTCCATGCTGGAGGAGTGCCTCCTCCACTGTTCTCTCCTTTGGTTCCACCTCGAGGGCTTCTTCGGCTTCTTTGGCTTCTTCCGGCCAGGTCTTGGGAATTGGCGGATGAAGAAGAGTTTACCAATCATGGCAGAATCCACGTGGCCCGGGATCCCACGCCAGTTTTGTCTGATGGACTTGGGTCCATTGGCACCAACTGCAAAGTACAGCATGGGGCAGGTGTCAAATCAATCAGGGTGGGGGGAGACACATGAGGCTCAATATCTGGTTGGTAGATTATAGCTAGAAAACACAAGAATCTAAACAGACCAGAATAAAATATGACCATTCAACCCGTCATATCTGTACTAGCTCTGTCACAGCAACTAACCCAGTCCTACTCACACACCTTTTCCCCAGAAAAGTATCCAATTCACTCTTGAAATCCTGACTGAATCTGCCTCCACCACACGCTCACACATTCCAGATCCTAACTACTTGCTGCATGATAAAGGTTTTTCATTTGTCATCAGATCTTCTTCAACTAATTTCCTTAAATTTGTGCCAACTTGTTATCAATCCTTCCACCAACAGGAACAGCTTCTCCGTACCTACTCTGTCCAGACCCTTCATGGTTGTGAACTGCTCAACAATTGAATCCCCTCTTAAACCTCACTTCTCTAAGGTAGGTAGGAGATAGCAACAACAGGAGACAATTAACCTGCTCTAAAGCAATAGATTGTCATTTTAAACTTTAGAATGAGTGTTCGTGCATTGGGACTGAACGCCCTTCCAGGTTTTATCCTGGCTGGACTTCAGGAATAACAGGGCTGAACAGAGGTGAGGACACATTTATTTACTCTATTTTTTAAATTCCCTAATGGGACATGCATGTCACTGGCTGGGACAGATTTACTGCCCGTCTCTAGTTGCCCCTTGAGAATGTGGTAGTGAGTTGCTTTCTCGAACAACTGCAGTTCATGTTTTGCATGTGGATCCACAATACCATTAGGGAGGGAATTCCAAAATTTTGGAATCCAGTGACAGTGAAGGAACATGTTTCCAAGTCCGAACAGTGAGTGACTTGGAGGGGAACTTGCTGGGGGTTCCCAAGTATCTGCTGCCCTTATCCTTTTGGATGGAAGTGGTCATGGGTTTGGAAGGTACTGCCTGAGGATCTTGGGTGAATTTCAGCAGTGCGTCTTGTAGATAGTACACACTGCTGCTACTGAGCATGGGTGGTGGAGGGAGTGAATGTTTATGGATGTGGTGCCAATCAAGCGGCTGCTTTGTCCTGGATGATGTCAAGCTGTTTGAGTGTTGTTGGAGCTGCACTCATCCAGGAAAGTGGGGAGTATTCCATCACACTCCTGACTTGTGCCTTGTAGATGATGGACAGGCTTTGGGGAGTCAGGAGGGGAGTTATTCGTTGCAGTATTCCCAGCCTCTGACCTGCTCTTGTACCCACTGTTTATGTGGCAAGTCCCAGTTCAGATTCTGGTGAATGGTAACCCCAGGATGTTGATAGTAAGTGATTTTTTTTTTCTTTTTTCATTCATGGGCTGAGGACGTTGCTGACTAGGCAGCATTTATCGCCCATCCTTAATTTCCCAGAGGGCAGTTAAGTGTCAACCACATTGCTGTGGGTCTGGAGTCACATGTAGGCCAGACCAGATAAGGATGGTAGTTTCCTTCCCTAAAGAATATTAGTGAACCAGATGGGTTTTTCCAACAATTGACAATGGATTCATGGTCATCATTAGATTCTTAATTCTGGATATTTATTGAATTCAAATTCCACCATCTGCCATGGTGGGATTTGAACCCAGATCCCCAGAATGTTATCTGGGTCTCTAGATTAAACAGTACAGCGACAATACCACTAGGCCATCACCTCCCCCAGCAATGGTAATGCCATTGAATATGATGGTTAGATTCCATCTTGTTAGAGATCCATTACTTTACTGATGATCAATAGTAGACTGATGGGATGGTAATTGGCTGGATTAGATTTGTCGTGCTTTTTGCGTCCAGGACATTCCTGGGCAATTTTCCACGTTGTTGGGTAAATGCCAGTGTCATAACTGTGCTGGAACAGCTTGGCTAGGGGACCGGCAAGTTCTGGAGCACAAGTCTTCCGTACTATTGCCGGAATGTTGTCAGGGCCCATAGCCTTTGCAGTATCCAATGCCTTCAGCTGTTTCTGGAGTGAATTGAATTGGCTGAAGACTGGTATCTGTGCTGCTGGGGACCACTGGAGGAGGCTAAGATGGATCATCCACTCGGCACTTCTGGTTGAAGGTTACTGCAAAAGCTTCAGCTTTATCCTTTGCACTGATGTGCTGGGCTCTTCCGTCATTGAGGATTGGGGTATTTGTGGAGCCTCCTCCTCCAGTGAGTTGTTTAATCGTCCACCATCATTCATGACTAGATGTGGCAGGACTGCAGAGCTCAGATCTGATCCATTGGATCCAGTCCTATCACTTGCTGCTTATGCTGTTTAGCAAGTAGTCCTGTTTGGTGGCTTCACCAGGTTGACCCCTCATCCTCATGTATGCCTGGTGCTACTCCTGGCATACACTCCTGCTCTCTGCATTGAACCAGGGTTGATCCTCTGCCTTGACGGTAATGGTAGAGTGGGGGAAATAACAGGACATGAAGTTACTGAGATGAAGTTGCAGATTGTATTTGAGTACAATTCCACTGCTGCTGAATACCCTTATGAAGGCCTGGTCTTGAGATGAATAGGAAGGAATAGAGGCATTTGGATCCTGTAAGTGAAGACAGTTTTAGTATGGAAGGGCAAAAAGACTTGGAGGGCGAAGGGCCTGTTCCTGTGCTGTATTGTTATTTGTTCTTGTTCTTTGTTCTAGATCTAATGGAAGTGTATCCCATTTAGCACGGTGATAGTACCGCACAACGTGATGGAGGGATGGAGAGGAACCTCAACATGAAGACACTGATGGAAAAGATACTGTCTTTTTAGCACTGCTTGCGGACCAAGAGCAACAGGACACTTTCCCCTTGCTCCCTGAAACCTAACCTCATTGCTACCCAACAACTTTTGAGGCCCCTCAATGCAAAGAATAGCCTTTCCCCAATCTGAATCACATCCGATCCCTACATTCAGACTCAACCAAGATTAAACTATGAATGCCAACCCTTCTCCCCCCAAACCCAATTAGAATCCAAAATTAGTCCACCAACATGACAGGAACTGAACCAAGGGGCTGAATGGCATAGGATTACCGTTTGAAGTAACTTGGAATAGGCTGGTAAAGAAATCCTCCCAACTGTTGTCTATATCAGCGTATCTCAGAAACACATTAGAGATGTATGAGCCAGCACAGTCCATCTGGCTTGGCTGGGTTTTGAAGATGTATTCCCAGTAGACATTCCCTGGAGAAAAATCAATCAACCAGATGTTCAGTCAGTTCCTGTACCAAGATAGGTAAAGGTCATTGGGTGAGAAGTTTGGAAACATCCTTATTACCTTTGAAGAAATAAACTCGCTCTTTTCCATCAATATTGCTGGCGGGCACTGCCAGTGATGCATCAATATCGTTTGGAATGCCAGGGAAACCATCCTTGATCAGTCTTGGGAAATCATGTTCCAGAATTCCATCAGAAAACCGCCAGTAAGAATCACCCTGGAGCAGCAGGGCAAATATTAGAATCACAAAGAGCTCCTCATTTGCTGGACTAACACACTGACACAGCATCGCAGAGTGAGCCACTTCTCAAGCAAGTCACACTTTTCAATCCTCTCCTTGAACAGAAAACACCAATCACAAAATTCCCAGGTAACAAATGCTCCACCTACATGGTCCCCATCAAACACTCTCAGGACAGCGATAGCACAGGGTTAGACACAGTACAAGCAATGTTTAATCACAGAAAGCCCCTGGTAAAACAAATTGCTCAGGACAAAATGCCTGACAGCAGACAGTACTGCCTGTAGCAGGAGGGGATGGTGGTTTAGTGGTAATGCCAGCAGAGTGGTAACCCAGGCTAATTACCCAGTGGACATGGGATCAAGTCCAGCTTGGAGAATTTCTGTTCAACACAGAAAATCTAGAATTGGAAGCTAATCTCAGAAAGAGTGATCATGAAACTACCATCCACTGAAATGCCCTTCTGGTTCGATCATGCCTGCTCGGGGTGGAGCCTTACCTGGAGTGGCCTACACGTAACTCCAGACCCCTTGTGATGTGTGTGACTCTGAAATGGCTGAGCAAGCCAATCACTCAAGGCCAGGTCAGGATATGCAGTTAAAAAAAGAGGCTTTGCCAGAAACTCCCACAGCTCATGAAAAAATGTAAACAAAAATCTCTGTGACCTGGTATCCTCCCCCACTACTCGCCATCAATGATTTACACTCACTCCCAAATTGGCAACCCATTCTTGTTTCCCAACTCCACCCCGGTCTCAGCCCTACCTCTGTAACCTCCTCCAGCCCCAGAACCCCACCAACATCTCTGCACACCTCCATACCAGCCTCCAGATATTCCAGATTTTAACTGCTTCAACATTAGCTAACTTCCTGGTTGTCAAACTCAGGGACTCCCTTCCCGAATCTCCAGGCATCTCTCCCCCTTTAAGACCCTCCTTAAAGCCAACCTCTTTGGCCCAAATGTTTGCTCATGTGTCCTGGAACCCCACCTGCAGTTCAGCATCACACTGTATTTGATAACTGTACCTCTGAAGGGTCTGTGATGATTTAATGCTATATTAGTTCAACTTGTTGCTCTTCCAGACAGACAGAGAACAAACTTTAGAAATTCAAACCTTGAAAATGTAGGTTTTGCCCTCACAGTTAATGCGTGTGAAGGCAGCATCAATTGGACCATGCATTCCCCACACGTCATGTATCAGTCTGGGGTAGTCTGAAATAACACTGTACTTATCCAGTTCGTAAAAGTATTCTCCTGGAGAGAGAGAGAGAGCGAGAGAGAGAGACAGAGAGAGACAAATAAGTTAATAGCACATAGACTCATACAGCACACAAACAGACCTTTTGGTCCAACTCATAGTTAGATACAGACCAAAGCTCTTTCTACATGGTCCCATCAAACACTCCAAGGACAGGGACAGCACAGGGTTAGATACAGAGTAAAGCTTCCCTCTACACTGTCCCCATCAAACACTCCCAGGACAGGGACAGCACAGGGTTAGATACAGAGTAAAGCTCTCTCTACACTGTCCCCATCAAACACTCCCAGGACAGGGACAGCACGGGGTTAGATACAGAGTAAAGCTTCCCTCTACACTGTCCCCATCAAACACTCCCAGGACAGGAACAGTATGGGGGGTTAGATACAGTGTGAAACTCCATCTTCAATATTCCAATCAATATTCTCAGGACAGGACAGCATGGGGTTAGATACAAAGTAACCGTACAACCCGAATAAAATAACTGATTCACTGTGAAACTCCCCTCTCTTCCCTTTGGTCAGCATATGATCATTTGGATGGTGTCCAATGGGGCTTAGTGTGGACAGATGGTTACAGGGTGGGGAGATATCTGTGTGCAGTTCCTTTGAACAGGGCCAAACCCACAGGATCATACTGCATCTTAACATTAGAGGTGGACTGTTCAAAGATGATATCAGGGAGCACTTCCTCACACAAAGGAGTGGAAATCTGGGGGAACTCTCTCCCCTAAACAGCAGGGAGTCAGCTTACACATACACGTCTGAGATCAATCGATATCTGACAGGCAAATTATTTGACAGGTTGCTAATCGAAGTGGGTAAAACATGTTAAACTGCAGGTTAGCCATGATTAACATGAATAGCAAATGGACATGAGTGGCTGAATGGCCTCCTGCTAATGGTCCTTGTTCAGAATCATACCCTGGAAAGCATAGATCGATCCATTCTTGAGATCAGTGAATGCATCAATGGGTTGTTTACTGGTGCAGAGATCAACTGGTTCGGGCTCTGGTTCTGGTTCTGGCTCCAGACTCGGTTCTGGTTCTGGTTCTGGTTCTGGCTCCAGACTCGGTTCTGGTTCTGGTTCTGGCTCCAAACTCGGTTCTGGTTCTGGCTCTAAACTTGGTTCTGGTTCTGGTTCTGGCTCCAAACTCAGTTCTGGTTCTGGTTCGGGCTCCAGACTCGGTTCTGGCTCTACTGTGGCATCCAAATAATCTGGTACAGCTGTCCCATAGTCCACAGTGGGGGAGTCAAAGGCATCAACATATTCATCCTCAGCCATGTGGAACACATCCCCACGAACTGCAATTACAGAGAACAAGAACATTACAATTATTCACAAACTGCATATGTTCATCGTTTTCAAAATTACTGATTCAATACACAGCAAATGCATATACCATCTTGCATCAAACACCATCAGGAACTGATCCCAGTCAGAATCAACAACTTCAAGAACTATATCTCAGTGAGGGTCAGTCCCTTCAGGAACTGTATCCCAGTGAGAGTCAGCCCCTTCAGGAACTG